TCCTTAGCTTCTTATACATGGTGTTCGCTAGGACGTTAGTTTTCGCACGTTTCTTAAACTTATCTCTGGTTCGGATACAGTCAATTATAGAGCTATTCATCCAAGGTGGCAGCTTTTTCCGCTTTACTCTTTTCTCGACAATGGGTGCGTGGTGGCTGATTACACTATTGAAAATCAGCTCCCAGGTGTCCAACTTGTCGTTAACATCTTGGAACATATCGAGCACTGACCATGGAGAGGGCTATCTAGATCGTAGATAAAACTGTCTTTGTCAAAATTATTAAGGCTTTGATATTTAATGGTATCATGATACGGTTTGGGGGATTTATGGCCGCGAAACTTGTGTACAAAGCAGACTGGATGGTGATCACTCAGTCCATATATCGGGACTAGGGTTTCGATGATCCGCTCTGGATGCGAAACATAAACTTGATCTACCAACATGGCTGAACATCGAGTAGCCTTTGTAGCAGTTGAAGAAGAGACGATCTGTTAGATTCCTGCGTCCCGAAATATTGTAGATAATCTACAAGACCCATTTACTGCTAGCAAGTCAATGTTAAAGTCACCAACCACAACTATTTCGTTATACCTGCTCACAGAGATGTCGATTAATTCGTCAAGAAATTTGTAGAAATCAGGACTTGAGTTCGGTGGGCGGTAAATAACCATGAATAAAATCTTTGGGCCCGATCGATGTTGTTTTATTTCCAGGTAAAGATGTTCGAGTTCAATGGATGAATCCAACAATCGTACTCGACGACAAAGGAGAGAATTGTTAACATAAGCGGCAACACTACCACCTTTTTGAGTCACTCCGATCACAGCGATAAATCTGAAAATTTTTCGATGCAATCGTGCAGTCGCTCCAGGTGGAATTTAGCCAGGTTTCACTCATTGCAAAGACATCAAAATCATTAAGGTTCATCAGAATCTTTACTTCTTCAAGATGGCGAGGAAGAGATCTGACATTTTGGTGACAGACTCTGAGGCCCTTAGATTTTATCGGGAAGGTGGGATGCGAGCTCGAGTTGTTCGAAATTGTAAAATTTCCATCTGTGGTATCATTTCTCGCTAGTGGGCAGGGGTTTGAAGAAACATCACCATGCAGAGCGATGAGTTCGATATTAAATGTCGCACAGTGATTGCCATAGTAGATTGCCACAGCACGACTGTACCCACTTCTCTTGAAGAAATCGACATGGCGTCTTTTGAATTGCAAACATGCAGGAG